CTAAGATTCATAACTGGCTGTAAGTACCGTAAACCATTACACCCAGTATTCACTGGTTAACTGGTCATCATTAACCTCACACAGACTCTCTCACTGGTACATTTTCATCTTTAAATCACTTCTTGGTCTGCTGCCTTCATACATCTCCTCCTACATGTCTCTGCGTGAGTGCAGCTACAGCGTGCGCTCTCAGGACATTATTACCTGCAGTGTTCCCTCAGTGAGGACTGAACTTGGTAAAAGGGTCTTCTACTCCGCTCCTGTTTCCTGGAATATCTTACAAAAAGAACTGAAGCTCTCGACCTTTGACCTCTCTAACTGTGGCTTCAAACATCTGTTGAGTTCATGGCAAAAACAAATGTTCCTGTTTTTAGTTTTCTACATAGCTTTATAAAATAGCTGTTTTTGTTTTGTTTTAATATAACTTATGTACTTTTCATTTGATATGATTTTATATTATTGTCTGTATCTCATCTGTGCTCTTTGTTTAAACCAGGTCTCTCTTGTAAATGAGTCCTCGAGGCTCAATGAGACCAACCTGTATAAATAAAGGTTGAACGAATGCTTGTGTCCAACAATCTTTAAATCAAACTAGATTGATTTTAATCCAGTTAAAACTCTTAATTTAATTCCTGGTTGCAAGACAATTGAAGAATTACAGAAAGCGGTGAATACTTCAGAAATCCACTGAATTTGTCTGGTTTTCACGGTCAACAGTTATGAATCACACCAGAGTCAGGTCTGTAAAAATGAAATATTTTAATTGGTGGTTTGATGATTCATCTTTGCAATCGTAGGAAACAAACCCAGAAAGATGCGTACACAGGGAGGCAGACAAATAAAAAAAAACAAATCCCTTTCACTCTTTACGTATTTAAGGAAGGGCGATGCTAGCAATACCCGTTTGTTTTCACAAAGGACACATCAGATTAACACATGGACGAAACAAAAACGTGCCTTTTACAGCATCAGCTCCTGGAATTATGTCAGTAATAGCTTCTTCCTCACGCTGTTCAGACGTTTTCTTGGAGTCAGATTTGAAATTCGAAGGGTAAAAATAAAAAGATTTAGGTTTTCCTTCGGCTCTACAGCCCACAAACGCAGAGCCACATATTGATTTAGAGACCAATCACAGTCTACAATTAAAAAAACAAGTTGTGGGAACAATAATGCCCCGGACCTAAAAAGTGTCCAATAAAAAAACAAATAAAAAACCACGACAATGGAGAAGCTGATTCCTCGCCCCGTATCCATTTCTGTCCATATTGCTTTACTTTGAAAGCTACACAAAAACAATGACTGGATCAGTCCCAGCACTTTTCATCAAAACCTCTCTCTCCTTCCCATCATGAATTACTCCAGATTTAAAAAGAAGCTGATCACAGGGGGAGGGTCCAGCGTGATGAGCTCAAATATGACCACCCAGTAGGTTAGATTGTTAAAAGAAGCTTGTTGCATCCTGTGTTGTGAGGATAAAAGACGCCGGTTGGCTTCATCCATCATGCGATGACTCGAGATTCAGATTAGATTTAATCATTCACTTCTGAAGTTCTCAAACTCTAAAAAATCTGAATCAAACAACTAAAAAAAAAACTCTCTTTTTTGGGGGGAACTAAATAATGTGTAACCAATACATACAACCTAAAAACAGGATGCACTGGATGATTATGACCACATGAAGTTGATTTTTCCGCCTTATTTTTCACGCTCAGATTCCTAAACACGAGTTAATTTGATCACTTCAAACATCGATTTTATGCCTGAAGGCAATTTGCACTCTGTGTTTTTCTAACCAGATAAGTCCGCCTGCTGTAATTGGCTCCTGTTGCACTTCGACAAACAATCATTGGCCAAACACAACAAACGCCTAAAGATTTATTTGAGCTTCCATGAAGTCAGCTTGGATCACCTGCAGCTGAAAAACTGCTTCAGTTCCGTGACTTTATCAACACTAAACATTGTTTTGTGGGTTAATTCAACGGTTTTCTTGCAGGAAAACAAATTTATATTAATGCAGTCTTGAAAGATTTTTTTATTACATCTAAACCCTCTATTTCTTGAACAAAATAATAAAATGTATCTTCTAGGGCTTGACGAGTCAGCGCAGTCTGTGGAGCTAATCCAGCATGAGTTAACATCTATCTGCTCCGATCAACAAGTTAACCCGGTAGTTGTATTCAGGCCAAAAAAATCAGACCCGACCCGGCCCCAGCCATCACTTCTGAACCTGATCTGACGAATTAACAGTAAATACAGGTCCGAACCAACCCCCACCCACCCCACCCCCCACCCAACATTTTTAATTAAGCTTTGACTGATTAGATACCATATTTTCCACCATACACGTCACGTCACCCTATAAGTCGCATCAGTCCAAATATGTTTAATAAATTGGAAAAATACATAAATACGTTGCATCTATTACGCGTCACCGCTGACAACCTGGAAATGTGGGCCGATGTGCCAAAAATCGATTGGCTGACAAGGGCATGCCATGCTACTAGAGTGCCATCTAGTGGCTGAAGATGGTAGTGTCCAATATTTTCAGTCAGAATTAATGAAAACGGTCATATCGCAGCCAAAAATTGGTTTATAAATATGGGAAAAAAAAAACATAAATAAGTCGCTTTGACGTATAAGTCGCAAGTCATGTAAATTATGCAAAAAACTGACTTATAGGCTGAAAAATCCGGTAGTTATTAACGGTCGGCGGATGTGTGCGGCTAAGGGGGCAGAAGATCGGAGCTGAGGGGGCGTTTGTCCTTTCATGGCCGTCAAAGCGCATTAAATCCCTGCTTATGCCTGCATTCTGCATTATTCAGACTCGGACCCTGCTCCGACATGTCTGCGAGGATATTTTGGGATCTCACCTGTTTGGGTCTTTGACCGCGCGCGTCTGCTGAGTGCAGCAGCTGAATGAACGTCATTTGGGCTTTGATGGATCGCTGCCTGGCGGTACAGTCCCATCTGAAGATTAACTGAACTTTTTTTTTTTTACCTCTTTCAAGGCCGGTCAACGTCCGGTCAAATAGCCGTGTATGGCTGGTTATTGTATGGCAAGCCATGTTACCATATAACTGGATCGTCGGCTGCGGGCGTCCGATAACGCAATCAAAAGCCCAACACCGACCTGGCCCGGCCATCCAGCACATTATTATGGCCTGGCCCAAATTCAGGTTGGGCCGGGCCGGGCTTTGGGCCTGGGTTAGAAATGGCAGCTCTACCCCTGAGGGATACCTCTGAAGTATGACCAGTAGCTGGAGAACATTTAGATCTTGAGATTTAGACATTAATTATCACTTGCCTGTTTGTTGCCACTAAAACTGACATGGCAATCATTCATGTGGCTGTACTGGTGTTTGTTGGCAAAATATCTCATGAACCACTGCGTGGATTTTAAAGAATCTCTTAAAACTTACCAATAAACACCACTGAATGTACATCTAACTCAGACTTCCTGAGTCAACCCCATTCAAGATGGCTGCCATAGCTGATCGACTTTATCCAACACAGAAAAGGCCAAATTTACAAATTCTGAAATTTGAGGCGATTCATCTCCAATACATCATGAAATCACAAATTTAAACTAATCTACAAGGTGTGACCAAAACAGCTCTAACTTCCCAATTTTTCATCATAAAATGGTCGTAGTTTACAATTCTGGCGTGAACGGCGTCAGCGATGTGAATTCCTTTAAGGGATGATGTCATTATTTTTAATAAATGCTACATGTGTGAATCCAACTGTGACGTGCTGAGCTCAGACATGTCTGCAATTAAAAATAGAGGTTGATAAATGTTAAAAATTACTTTAGACTGGTGTAATGATTCAGTTCTGGGAAGAAGAGACAAGAAAACGGGGAGAAAGAATAGCGGGGGGGGGGGGGGGGGGGTTGCATCATGGTGATAGTCACATCTGGGTCATGCTGTTGCTGCATCACCTTCAACCTTAGAAACATAAAAAAACAAAAATAATTGGTCGAGAAAAATAATTCATAAAACATCATCTGTCATTCATACTATTTACAATGGCATACACTGATCTGGCATCCTGCACACACTATTTACACACACACACACACACACACACTCAGATTTACGAGTAGTCAGAGAAATTACTGTAGTACAATGCCGACATAATAACTGGCAATAATTATGTTGACTATGATCCCGGTACGTAGAGGCACTGCTACCTCGCCCTGTCTGCCCTTCAGGGTGAAACCAACAGAAACGCAGCTCACGCTAACAAACCACAGGTCACCAGAGCTGCGGTCGCCCTTTGCGAAGGGGCGGCTGAGGCCCGTATAAGACTGCAGCTTTTACAGCACAGTCGGAGGAGGGGGGGTAAAATGCCACCCACCACATTAAGGGCTCACATTACCATGGTGACCAGTAGTTGCACAGCTCCCATTTCAAGCATTTGTCTGAGTTAAGGCTTCCAAAGCGCTTGCCGTTCATGCTGCACAGTTCCTGGCAACAACTTACAGCAGACCCCCCCCCCCCCCCCAACACACACACAATTTATTCGCACCTATGTGAGATTCAGCTCTATAATTGGCTGTCATTCTCCGCAGGGCTGAGACCCCAAAAGGAGGAGAAATAATGAACTTGTTAAGCGACAAGAGCTTTGGGAACCCATCAGAAAAACTGTCACCATCACCCCCCCCCCCCCCCCCCCCAAAAAAAAAAAGAAGCAAGGCTTCAGTAATGGCTATGGTCCATTGTTCATTCTTCCAATCCTTTAGCTCTCCACTTATAAAACAATACAAATCAAAGACAAAAGGAATCACTTTTCTTTAGGCAGCAATGTTGGTCTCAGTGTTATTACAATTCTGCTTTAAAACAAAAAAACATACAAATAAGAGCATATTTAAAAAAATAAAAATGAGACTAATCAGGACCAAATGGATGAAATGGCTGGTTTGATGTAAGCACAAAGCTTTTAGGACACCAAGGAGTCTTGATATAGTTTCTCAAGTAGTCCCACCTGTGTCTTTGTTCATTTCTCTTTCCCAGTCAGTCTGAAACTGGAGGCTCCAGACGGCAGGCCGGCCCGTTCGGCCAGAACTACAGAAGACTCGAGTTCTCATGTCAGGCCACAGAAAATGCAAGGAACACTGGAGGAGGAGCGCGGGAGTCTCCGTTGTTAGCAACTTTTAAAAATGACCCCCCCCCCTCTTTCGCTTTCCTGCCCGAGAAGTAATGATGATTGGGTGCAGCAGGAAACGAGGAGAGCGGGGGGAAAGGGCAAGCAGGCGACAATAACGACTGGGCAAAGCTCAATAACGAGAGCTGATGCAATGTACCAGGCTCCGGTTTCTATAGCAACCCACTCAGACTCCTGCTGCCCCAGTCTCTGCTGGTCTGCCATTCGTTTTGGGGTCTGCTGAAGCAGGCGCCGCTTCCTGTGGATGTAAAGAGTGCGTGGATTTCACATTATATATGCATGTCCTGCTTGTTCTCGTTCTGCTGCTACCAGCGGTTGATGATCTGGTTCATGTAGTCCTCAGTGGGGAGCCTGCTGCCCGCCTCCTCCGTTCTGCCTCCCTCTTCACCGTCCTCCCGCTCCTCCCTCTCCAACCGCTCCCCTTCCCCGTCCTCCCGCATGGATTCTGAGATCGTCCGGCCGCGGGAGGGCCACAGACTGACGCCGAGGCCCAGGCCCTGATGGCTCTGTTGCATACGGTTCTTAATGCGCTGCTGCCGCCGCTCCTTCTGCCGCGTGTACTGGTAGCGCTGCTGGAACAGGTCCCTGGCGTAGTCGTACAGCTCCATGTCCAGCTCGTTCAGCTCCTCGATACGCTGCACCTGCAGGGGAGGGAGGGAGCACAACAAATGATTACATTTACCAAAACTGAGCGCGTAAAAGAAATGAGGAAAAACAGGAGGGGAAACATCTGGAGGAAATGGAAAACGTATTGGTTCTTAAAAATAAAGACAAATATTTTACAGTTTTCTTTTTATTGTCGTTTCACAAGGAAGGAAACAAGATGAAGACTTTAGACTTTCTATCAGTGCTCTACAGAAAGGTTCCCCGTTAAAGTCTGTGATTTCAGGCCTCTCAGCTTCAGAACTGTTGGTGCTGAATGTGGCGACTGTACAGTAGGATGACCCAGTGGTTTCATTTACTTTAAAACTGCTTAAAAACAACGACAGGCTGCATTAACGCGCTGAAACTAAGATTTTACACTCATCGTATAGGAACACTAACAATTCTGTTGATAAGTTTCAAAAAGTTTCCCTTTTAAATAAAAAACTTGCTATAAACCTGCGTCTGGACAAGAACTGAGTGTAGCAGCCTGAAAAATAAAACCATGAGCTTGTCCGTCTCACATAATCGATCCAAAAACACAAGCTGTTGGTGGTCCCGAGACGTTAAACTGCTTTCAAAGCTCCTTCAGAGCCAAGCGCGTTTGGTAGAAACAACAAAAATGTGTCTCGTGTTAGCTGGTGCAACGCAGCTGGCTTTACTGGAATCCATCATGGGCTGCGTGGGAATCCAATGCGGAGGGGAATGTGTTTAATTAGTGGAAGCCCTTTGAAATGTGCAATCAGCCGAGATGTCATGTGTGAGCAACATGTGCAACAGAGGGAAGTGACATGTTGCATCGATGTTTGAAAATTAGATTTTGATCAGCAGCAGGAGGGACATGAGCTCAAAGCCAGGAGGCGATCAGAGAAATATGTTCTGAAATCACAACAGAGTTTAAGGAAAATTCTACTTTTAAACTCTGTTCTGTAATTATTTACCCGTTTTTTAAATAAATGTACTGATTTCATTGGGTATAGCTGATATTAATATTAACTACTTGGAAAAAAGGCAAATACAGACTCCATACATGCCAAACTAAATCCTTGCAGTGTAAAAATGTCCACTTTTTTGTAATAACACCCACTGGTCCATCAGTCCAGAGGTTCACAGCTGTGCACATTTTATTTCCTCTCCAAGCAGCTGAGTGTGATGTATGAATCGCCATCTGATGTGTACTGGAAGAAGAAAAAACCCCTCGCACACAGGCCCAATCAGTGTGAGGAACGTGCTAGAAGCTGATGTTAGTGATCCCACTTCATTTAACAGCATTTATAAAACCAGACTGTTCATTCTGGTTTTCTCATTTTTACGTATTGATCACCACTTTTTTAGGATCAGGTTTGTGTTTTTCTAATATATTTTCATTTTTGACACTTGGAGAGGGGGCAGCACGGTGGTGAAGCTGGTAGAGCTGCTGCCTCTCAGCGAGCAGGTCCCTGGTTCAAATCCCGGTCCGAGGGCATTTCTGGGTGGAGTTTGCATGTTCTCTCCGTGCATGCGTGGGTTTTCTCCGGGTGCTCCGGTTTCCTCCCACACACCAAAAACATGTATGTTAGACTGATTGGTAACTCTAAATTGTCCCTAGGTGTGAGTGAGAGAGTGAATGGTTGTTTGTCTTATTTGTCTCTATGTGTCCCTGTGATGGACTGGGGACCTGTCCAGGGTGTCCCCCACCTCTCGCACAGTGACTGCTGGACATGGGCACCGGCGACCCCCGCAACCCAAACAAAAGGAAGAAGCAGGTAAAGAAAATGGATGGACACTTTGAGAATTAAAATCTAATGCCCCTTTTCCATTAGTACCTTTAGTACCGGTACAGCACGGTTTGACTCGGCTCGGTACACGTTGTGTTTCTATTATACTTTCCGTATCGTTCCAGTGGGCGGGGTTCAAATTGACTTCACGCGCCTCACCTGTTGGTGGCGGTGAAACGCTGAAACAGGTTTCAGTACAGGGTGAGAATTTATTTTGAAGTTTCTGGTAAATTAAAAAGAATACAGATTAATAAAATGATCAAATTAAACTATTATATACATATATATAAAAATCCTGCTAATGAACTTTTAATGAACCATTAAATCTCGGATGAAGCTGATTATACTAAAACATCTACATTTAAAATGTTGTAGTTTTTCTTCATCATTTGATGTATTTGCACTCACTGTGTCTACTTTTATTGTTCAGTTTATATGTGTGGTTTTGTCGTCGGCCACCAAGCACAAAAAACACGTGCACTTCAGCATCAGACCACGGTGTTGCCATTAGTATTTTTACAAATCTTAAAAATAGGTCCAGCCACTGCTCGAGTTGAGTTTTTGCAAATGGCGGATCTTGTTGTTGTGAAAATTTCTCAAAGCCCTCTAGTGACTCCACCCCCTGACCAATCAGTGACTGACAGCGTTCTGATGTCACATTTTGGTGCCGGTTTGGCCCGGTTTGAACCCCAGAGAAAAGGGTTCTAAAAAAAGGGACCGGTTCTACGAAACATTACTAGTGGAAACGCCTTGGAACCGTGACGAATCAAACCGTGCTGAGTTGAACCATGCTGTACAGTTACCAATGGAAAAGGGGTATAAGGCTAACAGAGTGTTATGTACGTTCATTATGACAAGGACGTAGATCAGAACAGTTTTGGTCCAGTAGTAACTCTAAAATCAGAGTTTTATTTGATTCCAGACTTCCCATCATGCATTTATGTAGAAATGTATCATGGCTGACCGTGGTGTTGTCCAAGTCCACCCCTGCGGCTCGTGTGCTGTTGTACTGCATAAAAGGCCTGATGAAGCGCAACCTGAAGGTCCGTTCAAAGAGGAACTGGGTTTTCCTCTGGTACTCGGTCAAACCAAAGAAAGCCATGTCTCGCAGGTTCTTCTTGGCTGACTCCAGGAGCAGCTGGGCCCTCTTCTTCTCTGGAACTGTGGACATGTTGTAGCAGCCGACCAGGCTCAAGTCAGCCAACATTCGAACCTGAGGACAGAGGATTAGGTTCAACAAATAATGTTGTAAACCTTCACTTATGTCAAGCAACGTCTGCGGGGCGGGGCAGAGGCACCCACAGTTTACTGAAGGTGGAAAACAAAATATTAGTTAACATAAGAAACAAAGATGGTGAATGTCATCTGGGAGTCACAACACAAAGTTAGATTTAAATAAAAAACTGACAGAATGTAAAGTAAAGAAATGTAGCTTTAAAAAATATATAAAAAACACGACTCCCTGCTGTGCATAAACCCTAACGCTAAATTAAATGTTTGATCAAGTGCTCTTCATGGGGACCAAAGCCAGGTCCCATAAGGATAAGTCTCGTTGTGGGGTTAGGTTTAAGACTAAGGTGTGAAATGCTGATGGGTTAGGGTTGGGCTACAGAAAATGAATGGAAGTCAATGCAAAGTCTCCAAAAAGTACATGTACAAGAACGTGCATGTGTGCAAATACAAGTCAGACGACCCTTAGTAGCACCACCCTGGGGTTCAGATGAGATGAGCTGGTCAACATGCTGCGGTGGGAGGCTGAGAGAAGAAGGTGTGAATTTGCCGTTTATGGCCAGCAGGCAAACGCTGGACTGTTCGTGCAAACGTGTGCGAGTGTGTGTGTTGAAAGATAGAGCGTGTTCTGATGTGTGTGCAACTCTTTTTACCCACTTACCTTCTTTATTTTGAAGTCCCAAATTCACGTGCACAGCATTTTTCTGTTTTAATCCAGTGTATTTTAGAGTTTCTTCTGAAGAGACAAATGTAACTGTGTTGGCATTTTTAAGTGCAGAGATGCTGCTGAACTGGAGAGGAGTGAGTGAAAGTTGGTTTATGTGTAATGGAAAAGATGTTTAAAGCCAAACAGAACTGCTGAGCGTTTTAATTTTCTACAGCACGCATAAGAGAATTATAAGAGTAAGATCTTATATTACAGATCTTACTGTTCCATATTTTCCTAACAGAGCACTTCATTCTCAGACTGCAGGTTTACTTGTGGTTCCTAGAGTTTCCAAAAGCAGAATGGGAGGAAGATGTTTCAGTTATCAGGCTCCTCTCTTGTGGAACCAACTTCCAGTTTCTGTCCGTGAGGCTGACACATTGTCCAAGACTTTCCTTTTTGATAAATCCTATAGTTAGGGTTGGTTTGGTTTCCTGACCTATCTCTTATCCTATGCTGCTATAGGCTTAGACTACTAGAGGACAAACTGACCTTATTTTATCAAATGAACAGTTACAAATGAATACTTTGTAATTGTTTCTATCTTAACATGTGTTTTTGTATTTCCTCCTAGTGAGGGACCTGCTCGCCTCCATTTTGGACCTGACATTCTGTGTCCGTTCCTCCTTCCTGTCCTCTCAAACCCAGCCAGTTGAAGCAGTCCTGAGACTGGTTCTGCTGGAGGCATCATCCTGTTAAAAGGGAGTTTTTTTTCCCCACTGTTGCCATTGTGCTTGCTCAGAATGGGAGACTGCAACGAAATGAAGACTCAACACAATCTGCTGGCTTAGATAAATAATATTACTAATTGAAATTTTATGTATGTGAATGTTTTTGTTCAGTGCCCTAAGGTTGTGACTTGGCACTCTATAAATAAACTTAACTGAATTGAATTAGCTTCCATAAAGGTGCAATATAACAACATATTCCACCTTTCAAACTGTGCTTCATCATTTCTTTTCACCGTCTATTGATAAGCGCTCCTTCCTGCGTACCTGTCTGTTGTTGGCCAAGTTGTATGGACAGTCCATGAACTGCTGCAGCGTGCACCCCGACCAGTCCGACCCCTCGTAACAGGAAGGCAGCTCCTCGGGCGTCGGAGTTCGTCCGTCGCACATGTGCAGAGAGGTTTTCCACGTGGCTCCTCGCTGCACGTGCCTCCACTCGCTGAGGTAGCGAGACACAGGATCTCTCAGCAGAGTGATGTAGTAGAACTTCCTGTTTGTAATAGACATAAAAATGGGAGGAGCTTGGGTTAATAATTGTTGTGTTATGGAAAGATCCAAAGTTTGAACAAAGATGAGGAAAAATTGATGCAACAAAAAACTTCATCACATGTCATTCTAAAGTTGACCATGTGGTGGCACTGTTCACAATGCTTTACCACAAAAGTTTAGTCTCCATCCTGCTAACTCAGGGCAAGAGACTGAGGTTGTCATGCTATTATTATCATTTTTCTAAAATCAGCTTCCTCCTGCACAGAAGAGATTTGCTGGACGACAGGAAGTGAAACTAAAAGAAGCGGGAGGAGGTGGAGGAGGAAGGGGACACAGTTGATTTGCGAGGCGGTGGATCAAGTCAGTGTTGAGGCCACACTGTGCAGGGAAAAGAAAACTGCTGGCACAAGCACACCTCCCTCTGCGGCACACATCTCTGCGCTGCAAAGCATCCTTGTGTCTCAGACTCCGACACACACACAGCAAACATCCTTCCTCCCGCTTCACACTGGCACCGAGTATTAGGTCTGCCTCTGAGAGATGACTCATCCTGCATCTGAGACCCTGTGTGAGTGTGCGCACATGCATGCGTGTGTGAAGTAATGGTGCATAGCACAGTTCAATGTCTCTCTAGAGGGGGACCACTCCCACTTGAGCAGAGACCTTTCCAGGCCTTCACACTCCAGCTAATTACTGCAGTCTAATCAATCAACACATCCTCATTAGCCACACACGCATGCATGTGCGTGGCTATGTGTGGCTATGGCGTGGATTTATCTGGGCAACGTATGGCCTGTGGAACGCATGGGGTGTGTACTCTCCTCCCCAGCTTGCAACATGCCAGAGGAATGTTTGCAGTGAATTTTGTGCGCTGACAGGACTCCACGAAAACAACGATTCACACAAAACGCCTCAAACGGAGGCGCACCGTCTCTCTGCCTTTATCGCTAAATCTTTTGGCTTTCCACGGCAAATCTCAACCGGCAAAAAAAAAAGAGTGGCTGTTGGTGGAAACAAAGCTCTAAGTCTTAGAAACAGTAGCAGTGGAGATACTTTAAAACATCCATTCACTGTAGGGAGAATTTTGAACTCCAAAAAAACAAAAACAAAACCTAAATCCTAAATCTGGAAACAATCAGGAGATCCTTGACAGAAAGAACAAATCAAATTTCATCTGGGAGCTCCAGCACAACATAATAACCCCACCCTGATTTGGCTGCAGGACAGACTGATCCCGGCAAATGAAACAAATCAAGAGGCAACGGGGAGATCACGGACAATAAAACGACTAAACCTTCAATCCGGTGGCGCATGAGAGCGCCCAGGCAACAAACCAGGCAGACCTCTCAATCCTAGGGACGGCTGGGGGATTCTCGGCCATAGACACAAGTCTCTAAACTCAAAATCCCATTAACCCAAACCCAAAACCTCATCCATCCCCCCCTCTGTCTTATCTAATAAAACCGACAGGAGAGGCGCAGTCGAACTGGAGCCTGCAGGAGACCAGGGGTACATTATGGAGATTCCTATGATGACATTATCAGGATTCTTAACACTCCCTTGAGTGCAGTGTGTGTTTGTGAGGGACGTCATGAGCCTACTGTGTGTCTCTGAGCAAGAATACGCCTATTAAATCAGTGATGACATTTTACCCCTCTTGGCTTCCATCCCACCGAAAAACAAAACAGTACTGTTTGGGGCTTGCTACACAGACTGGAAGGTAAAGAATGAGGGGAAAGGGGTGAAAAACAGAAAGGAAGAGAGAAGCAGTAAGGGCTGAGGGGGAGAAAGAAGGAGGAGAAGGAGGCGGAAGAGAATTTCAATTAGTTTTCTAATACTGTGAAAGCAGTGAGGGCCCCGAGCCCAAGTGATTCATCAAAGTTATGGCTCCCGCTATAATGAAGGCTCAGGAATATTACGAGGCAAAGTAAATAAATAACACGAGCACACACGCACATATGAGCACACTTACAATGCTAATAAATGGTCCTAAACGACATGCGTCTGCTGGGCTGGACACGTCGGCAAAGATGGAGACTTTCTAGTCTGAGAGAGGTTTAAGTGTCTGGCTGCTAATTCCTATTTGATGCATTGTGATGTGGCCGTGAGTGATTCTGAATCGATTTAAAACGGTCAAAAATTGATTATTATTTAATGTTGACGTCTGGTGTAGGAGAGCAAAAGGCAGAAGTCTTGAGGTGTGGAAGTGCAGGGACTGTTTATGGCGTGCACACAACGGGGTTGAGGCAAACAGAAAGCTAGTGTTTCGAAGGACTTTGGCTCCTATGAAGTTAAAGATAAAACTGATGTTGAAAGAGCCACTTTATGCAAGTGGAGTTCACATTTCCACTTGGGGGAGGGTAAAACTGACGATCGTTGCTGCCACTGCTATAAGCAGCATCTCACTAGTGCAGTTTTTGCATCGTAAGGTCCGGCCCAGCCCTAGTCGGTGTGACCCAAATCTTCCCTGGCTTTGCACGGCCTTCATCGTTTTGGCAGATGGACAGGCTCGTCAGTGCAAGAACTCTTGAGGCTTGCATGATGTCACTTTTTGCAACACCCAACAATGGAAAGCATGGAGCTCACGCTATTGTTCATCGTTCTTTCTCTCATCAAAAACAAGTTAAGCAAGAAAAGTCTGGGTGCTGCTAGAAGAAACAGCAGAAAAAAAAAAAACACGAGTGTATGAGGCCATACAGAAGTAGCATGCCAATGCGGAAGTGCAAGATGATGTAAAAAGGTAAGCTAACGTTAGCTAATGTTAACGAGTTTACAGTCATTTGAAGTCTCGACTACAACCGCGGCAGAGAACGAATCAATGGCTTGTGGTGTGTTGACGTCAAATTCCTGGCACCAGTTGACCCCTCGAATCCCCCCGGTCTTTGGGTTTAAAAAGCTGAGCTGAAAATGGGCAGGACAGCCCAATGTAAAGATTCAGAACCCGAACTGGAACCCGGCTGGGCTAACCCAGAATGAGCCGTACCTTGTAACGCAAAAGGGCTTCAGCTTGGGACGGAAAGGGTTGAAGAATTCAGTGAGACTGCAGCGAAAAATTTACTTTTTTTTTCTTGCAGTTTTGAGTCTGCAACTAGACTTTGACAGTGACAGCCCAGTGAGATACCACCTTATGTTGCCCCCTTTGGAGCACGACCATATGACCATCCTATGTTCAAGATACTAACAAGAGCCATCCCAACACCCTACAACTGGACCATAAACTAAATGGTGGAAACACTGAAGAAAGCTCTTCAGCTCTAATATTTAATGCTTTTACATCCATCACCTCAGAATCTTATGCCACTGGACTCAGCATTGTATCTCCATTTTTTGTCCCATATTCTCCCAAAATCTTTTCATAAAAACTGTTTAATGCTGCAGGATGAAGCAGGTCTGAGAAATTCTATGCTTAAGATCTTGCATCAGTGGTTTTAAAGTCACATGGCAGCCCTACAGATAGTGATCAGATCAAGTTGTGAGGGGCTTAAAGATTCCCAGCACAACTGTTGTGGACTTTAGCTCTCTAATGAGGTTTGACCCACTCACCACAAAGTTCCCTCCCCATTTACAAACACTCCTCGCCTTTAAGGCATTACAACCAGACGTTCACCCTCCATTCCACCCCCTACATGTGACACCGGCAGCAGTTGAAGCACTTATCAGCAGAACTTCAAAGCTAATATGACCCACTCAGCGTCTCATTGTTCAGATTTAAGATCATTATCTGGCTGGGCACAAGAATCCAAAGTCTGGACAAGACACCCTGAAGGGTTTCTCTCTCAGACTAGATTTATGTGCCATGTATTCCTCAGAAAGATGCCCCTCCTTCACCCCCCCACACACACACAAAAAGGGAGTAAAAAAAATCTAACATGGTTAAAAACAAGTTTATTTATCGTGTTATTGATTTACCCAGTCAGACTAATTGTATATAAATCAGCAAGGGAAAAAATCCTTAGTGGATGTGAAGAAGCTACTGATTGCTGAGACTTGTTTTGTCTTTCCTTCTCTCCATTTCATTTTGTCCTGACCCTTGTAGCTAAATTTAAACATGAAATGGAAAGTGCGTCATGAAGGCAGCCAAATTTCTGGCTCTCCAAAAACAACAAAAAAAGGAAAACAACAACAACAAAAATTAAATACACCGTGCAATCTTTGCTTCATCTCTCAAGCTGAGGACATTGTGCCCTCATTTTCTTACATCTCCAACGCACATCTTTGTTTCCACGAATGCTAAAAAACTAAAAAACAAGATGCTTGTAAGCTTTTTGCACTTTAACAGCAGGGATACACAAGACGCTTCTGAGAAAGTTGGGACGCTGTATAAAAAATAATAAATGAACACGGTTTACAATTCTCCATTAGCCACTGCAAACATATTGAGTGTTTGAAAAAGTTGCATTTAAAAAATGTTGAAATTTATTGCAGAAACAAATCTCAACAATTGTGACAGTTGCAGCAAAACGCTGTAAAAGTAAAAGGTAACAGGTAGAAGGACATTTTATAGTTCGATTTAATTGGCAACAGGTCAGTAAGAGGACTCCGTATAAGAAGAGCATTATGGAGGGGCTGACTCTCAGAAGTAAAGATGGGCAGAGGTTTGAATCTTGTCAGCCTTTGGAAAAACTGCATCTCAAAGCGGTGGAAACAGATGATAACATTTCATGAATTTAATGCCTCTTTTCCATAAGTACCATTAGTACCGGTCCAGCACGGTTCGATCCGGTTCGGCACGTTATGAGTTGTGCTTCCATTATACTTTCAGTAACGGTTCTAGTGGGCAGGTTCAGCTTAGAGCCTGCAGGTGCGTGCGAGGCCAGGGTCCGCATGCACCTGCAGGTTAGCAGCTCGTATGATCCTCCACAGTGACCACTGGAACTCGGAGCCTGCAGGAGCGCCAGCCTCGTGCGCTCCTGCAGGTTGGCAACACGGAGGATCTTCCGTGGTAACTGGCAGAGGTCGGAGACAGGGAGATAACGCCCTGCCCGGCCTGAGGGGGGTCCG